AGCTCCCCTTCATGTAACTTAATATATATTCAGAATCTACATTTTTACATTTTGTGTTGTTAGAAAATGGTAAATGATACATTTTTTATTTACTAGATAATTAACTTTGTATGTGTCATTTGTGTCAAGCTACATTTGGATAGTGATTGGAACACCATTAAAAATGTTTAAAACCAGCTTTTGAAAATTGTTTTTATTAGCTGAATAAAATCACCTGAAGTGTTCTGGATATAGAAAGAAAGAAAGATTATCAAACCATAATTTGCATTTAAAACTGATTTGTTAAATGAAGGCACTATTAACTGTAATAAAGTGAAGGATGGTTTCTGATCACTGTAAGCCAGACTTTCAAAGATATTTGCAGGTAGGTGCTAGGGCTATAAAATCCTGGTTAATCAGTTAACCTGTTAACCTATTATAGGGGGGTTGCTCCTGCAAGTCCAGGCCTGCCACAGGTAGGGGCTGCTCTAGTAACCATTAGAAGCACCTACTAGGGATGTGGTGTTAATTTAGGTAAAATAAATGAGTGTTGTCATGACTCGGTCACTGTCCAACATTAAACATTGTTACCCAAAGTCTGGGGTTTGCCTTAGTACTATGGCAAACACAATTACAATTTCTTTTATTAAAGAAACAAAAAAGAAGGGAAAGTGGTTCAAGTATTTGAAATGTAAAGCATTAAGTGAGGTTTTCATTGTAACAATTCCTGCTCCATGTCCCTTCAATGGGATTTTAGAACCTGGTGAGAGTTGTCTCAATGGGAATTTAGCACCTAACCTGCTTAGGTTCATTTGCTTAGGCACTTCTCGGCATCTAAGTTCCTAAGTACCTTTGTAACCAGTTTGTCAACTTGGAATCAAGCCAAATAAGACAAATATTCTCTGCTAGCTAACCTGAAATCAATAATAACGAAGGCAAGAGCTTTTCTGTACAACAAAGTACTGATGTTTAGAAAAGTAGAGTGCCACATTGGCTCCATTGCACAGACTGTAAAGAATACCAATAATTCATGCAATACATGGCATTGTGACGTCTTTAAAAAGCTTGAGTTGACCTCAGAAGATAGAGGTTATTCCCCAAGTCTGTTTAAAAAAAGCAGCACCTTTTAACACTTTAAAATTTGAGGAGGGCTCATTGTAGCATATGATTCATTTATTTTAAATGATTTTCACTGATGTTAGGCTGTAACACAGCTAGTCACAATTGCAAATGTAAATTACAGATTGAGTGCATTTAATTTTAAGTTTAAAAAAAATCCCATTTTCAAATGGTTTTACTTAGTGATTTTTATGCTCCCGGGTTGCTTGTCTCCATTGGTTTCTCTCCAGGCATCACCCCTCCCCTCCCCACGTCACCCCGCCATTCTCTGGGTTTTGCTGAGTTCGCTGAGCAGCTCAGGGTACAGAGCAGCTGGAATCCCTATAGCCTCCAGGATTTTCCCCATCCCATCAAACCTGCATTTGGCTCTGTTTCTGAACTTGCAGTGAGGGCTTCTGCTACCAACCCCATAGGGATCACAAATGACCCTGCAGCTCAGCATGGGTGCCTCTGTGAATAGCAGGAGTTCCTTGTCCCTGCTCATCTCCTGCCCCATGACCAGCCTGGTGTCTGATCTGAGGGTTCAAGACTGCCTTAAGCCACCCTTAGCCATGTTTCTAACCTGTCCCATCTCTTTTCACAGGGTGGTGAAGGAAGAAATCTCGGATGATAATGCCAAGCTTCCCTGCTTCAATGGCCGGGTGGTGTCCTGGGTAAGCAGGCATCTTGGCTGGAGGCCTGTCTGTCTGTCTACTTCAGACAACACAACTAGCTCTGAATAGTCCCATTGTACTGTCCCAGAGAGAGCACTAGGACAGCTGTGCTTTGTACTGAAGAAACACTAACTGTAGCTGAGCTCCTGGACTGGGGACACCACTTTCCATCCTAGTCCTGAACCCTAGAGCAAGATTCCCCCGAAAGCTCCACACTCGCTACGAAGCAGTCCTGGGGATACAATAATTAAAAACACGAGTCAGGCCTTTTTGAAACTACTTCCTAGGGACACTGCTCCTAGCCTGTCTAAGGTTACCAGTGTGCCCTAACAGCAGGGTCAGCTTTCCAAGGTCCACCACAGACAAATGTAGCAAAGGGCGCCGACGAAGAGGACTGGGTTTGACTGTCCTGAGGACTGAAGGTACTGCGTGGGTAGCCACAGGGCAAGCTTTTCTCTCTGTCCACACCAGGCACATGCCCTCGCCCCGGAGAGGACCCCCTTCTTGGGATGCATGGGGAGTTTAGTCTACATAGGCCACTGAGCCTTTTTTGTCCCCCCTCACCACTGCTACAACTTATGCTAGTTGGGATGCGGGTATCTGCTTGCTAGAAACGAACCTGAAATCTAGCAGCTCATTTCCTGGGGTTACCAAACAATCCCCAAATAGAAGCCACCATCAGGCACTTGCAAGCCACCTGGGCTAGATTAGATCTGATGGCTCCCAGCACAAGTCAATTACACAGAGTCCCTGCCTCAGGGAGCTTCTGCTATCAGACAAAGGGTAGGAGGAGGCTAAATTGGGAGGAAGGATGGGGAGCAGTAAGGCTGGGGAAATATGAGACCAACCAGTTGGGTGTCTGGAGCATGGGCTGCTGCATGCATTGTCCCTGCTATGAGTGTGTCTGAAAGAGACAACCATGTCGCTGAGGTTAAATCCTTTGTGTGTGCAGGGAATGGGGCCCTCTCTCCAGGCTGTCACACAAACACTTGGCCTTTTTATAGTTGTTGCCGAACAGTTTGCAGTTCTCCCTCTAGTGGCTTGCTGGGCGCCTGCCCTGCACAGAGCTTGTCCAATTCTCCTGTCTCTGCAGTATTGATTACAGCAGCATCTGTCCACAGACAGCCCTCATCTTCCCTTCCCCAGTTGCCTTTGTTCTTACTTGCTTGGTCAGGGGAGCCCACAGGCTGCCAGCCCTCTGTTCCCCACTCAGTTACTTTGCCATGCTTCTAAATGTGGCTCACATGCATGCAAAGCAGCTGGCTCCTTTCCCCACCTCCCCCCATCCCCCGGTGGATTCAGGACCTGTGCTGAGCAGAGTCGTCTCATGGGTATAACACAGTTTGGTTTGATCTCCCTATAAAGACCTAGTCTGTGTTCTCTGTGGTAGCACCTGACACGGCTTTAGCTGGGGCCTGAGTTAGTTGGACTCCTTGCAGGGCAGAGACACCTGGAGTTAGCTGTGGCTTTCTGCCCTTGTGTGTTGTGGACAGTAGCACTCTCCACTCCCTTTGGGCACAGCTGACACCCCTCCCCCACCCGAGATTCCCCATCAGTTGGTGGCTTAGGGAGCTGTGTAGTCTGTTCTGCTGTTGCCAGACAGGCTGGAGTGAGGCTATTTCAGGAATCTAGTGCTAATTTTAGTAGGGGGGATTAAGTCTGAAGCCTTCCTGGGAGCTAAAGAGACAGGAAAACTGCAGGAGTGTTACTGAAACATTCCTTGGAGGACAGCAGTGACCGACACTCGACTGGTGCTGTTAGACTGCTGCCTGGATCTAGACTAGGGACGTGAATGTTTAACAGGTGAGGTTTACTGGTTAAGGTTAACCAGTCAGGGCTGGAGCAGCTCCCTGCCTGCTGCGGGAAGGGGGCTCAGCCCCTGCCTGTGGGCGGGGGCCGCTTCAGCCTTTGTGGAACAGTCCTCCCCGTCCACCACCTCTTTAATCAGTTAACACAGCAGCTCCCGACCTGTTTTATACCGCGGACCGACAAACCCATTCACAAACTTTTGGCAGACCAGTAACATTTTATTTGCATATTTGCGTATTCATATGCGAATAAAATGTTACCTGTCCACTAACTCACTCGCCTGTTGACCCCATCCAGCCAACCCTGGTGCTCTGTGTCTCTGTATTATGAAATGTGCCAAACCTATCATCTGATAGCCCCTCTATCCCACTAACCCCATTACCTCACAAGTCTGTCTTACCAAACCTGTCACCCCAGTGCCCACCGTCTCCCGCTTCCCAACACCCCCTGCTGCCAGCTTCCTTTTGTCGACCACCTCTGTCTTGCCTGAATCCCATCCTGCATCTGCTGTCACTACCAGCCTTGGCACGCTGTGTCCCAGCGACCCCTCACTTACATTGACAACCTTCCATTTCCCTGGACCCTGCCCCACCGCTCTGTGCCCCCTGCCCCTGCCCACAAACTCCATGACTGCCTATTGTGCCAAACCCAGATCCTGCTACACTGACCCTGCAGCTGCCTGTTCCACAAGCTCTGAGGCCCCCCGACCCTGCTCAGACATCCTCAGGTCTGCTGCCCCCTGAGACAGAAGCATGAGCTGCGCCACACCTGGCTCCATAACCACTGACCCACTGTAACCCACCCCCTCTAATCCCTGCCCCCCCTCAACTCCAACCCAACCCCTTGCTCCCCAGAGCCTAACACCCTTTGACCCCCACTCCATGTCCTCTGATCCTTTAGCTTCTGATCCCCACAGCCCATGCCAACACCCTCTTGCCCTGTGACTCCACCATGTCCTCACCCGATGCCCCTTTGATCCCACCCCTCCCTCCCCAGAGCGAGGCTGCCCCCTCTAGTGAGTGTGACCATTACTGCCGCACAGGCAAGGAGTGTGGCCGCTGGCAGCGCACGCATGCCCTCCTCCTGCGCCCTTCCTCCCCAAGAGCGTCTCAAGCCCTCGTGGGTTGAGGCAGGGAGGGAGCACAGAGCCTGGGTCGGGTCACCATCTTACCTGGGTGGGACGGGGAAGAGGGAGGGAGGCACCCCCTGCTCCGCCGCCTCCTGCTGCCGCCTCAGCCCCAGCACCACTGCCAGGCCAAAGCAGCGGTCACAGCTGCTGGAGCTGAAGCTGGCTGCTGTGTGGCAGCAAGCCTCTGCAAACAGCTGGCTTCACCTCCAGCAGCTGCCGCGGGTTGGCAGCCAGCGGTTTGCAGCCCAGCGCCGGTCCGCAGACCGGTGGTTAGGAACCGCTGGATTATCCAGTTAAACGACATGATTAACCCGTTAACTCCGCGTTTCTCAAACGGTGGGTCCCGATCCCCCCACCCCCGGGGGGGTCATGAGCAACCTAGAGGGGGGTCGTGGTATCACAAAGTTCGAGAACTTCTGCATTAACCAGTTAAATGGGGTTTTACATCCCTAATCCAGACCTCTGTCTGTCTAGTTATTTCTCTGGCCCATTCCCACTGTGTTTAAATGCAGAGGGCCATGGGTGAGCTCTTATCCCACACAGTCCTGCTCTCCTGGGCCTCCCAGCCTCTCATCCCACCTGTGCTTACCTGGGCGCTCCTTTCCCTGCTCTGAATATCTGCAGTGCCCTCTGCTGACAGGAAGCAGGGCTGCATGTGGATTTTCCACAGCAGCATCAGGGAAGAGAGGCTATGATGGTATCAGAGGCAGCAAAACCCAGTTAGTTGCCAGCCAAGTCCTTCCTTTGCCACCCCTGGTGATATTTCCAGCACTGTGTTCTCTAGAGTTTTATCCAGGCCTGCAGTGGAGCATTTTCTGCTTGTCCTGTGATCGGGCCCTGTCCCCTCCCATGGCTAGTGAAAAGTAGAGACCTGGAGCCCAGTTGATCGAAACAAGTAAGATCAGGGCCTAGTAGTTGCAGGCCTGGTCCCTCTCACCTCGAGCTTTCTTTTTCTTGCTCAGTCTGTCTCCAGACGTGCACCAGGTTCTGTTCTAGGGCTGGTGCCTCACTGAGCCAAGACCAGGGGACGGAGTCAGGACCCTCTTCTTGGGCCTGCAGGGCACATTGGGGCAGCCAAGCCCAGAGCTGCAAGGAGGA